AGCGGTAGAAGCAGGGGAGCTCCGGATTTTTAAATAGCCCCCAGAGCCCTGGGACCCAGGGGGGCTCCAGGGGCTATTTAAAGGACCCGGGGTCCAGCTGCCTCTGCCACCCCGGTCCTTTTAAATAGCCACTGGAGCCCCTGGCTGCTACTGCTACCCCGGGGGGTGGGGGGGGAGGGCACTTACCTTACAGGGTGGGCTGGGGCTGGCTCTGACTCCCTCAGCCACGCCCCTTCCGCCCTAGGCCACGCCCCTTCCGGGGGCCAGAGCTGGCCCCAGCGTACCGGTAAGTCACTGGACTTACTTTCACCCCTGTTACTGGAGCTGTTGTTAAAATTATTTAAGCTGAAAGTTTGCTATTCCAGATGTTTCCATAGCTTTAGTTTTTTCACATAGCCTTTCTGCTAAAACCTTCAGTAACAAATGTGATTTAATAAAAAATATTTGTATAGATCAGAGACTGTTTTCTTCTTCAGACAAATATGTCTGAGTTGTTACAGTTTGAGTAGTCTATTTATAAACTGCCTTCCCAACACAAACTGCATGTCTGTCTCTAATGTAACACTATTGTCTTCTCCTTCAAATCATTCTACAGAGCTAGTGCTGTAATAAATAGAATCTGCTCATTATTTGTTCTTGTGACCCCATTCATCCCATTTCTTAAATTCTTTTAGCATTCTAAGAAGTCAGACAACAAGATTAATATTCCTTGATTAAATGTAGAGTGGTTGTTATTCTATATTGAATGTAAAAATGTTTGCATCTCAACAGTTACTGTTAGTGCAGACCATAGTTAGGGAGCTAATGGACATCTACAAGTAATTAACCATAATGTAAGCTGTAAATATTTTATTGGGGAGACAGTGTGGTCTAGTGGATAGATCACAGGACTGGAATTGGGCAAATCCCTATTCTGTTGCTAACTTGCTGTTAACCTGGACCTGTCCCTTAGATTCTGTTTCTTCATTTCGCTTGTGCAGAACACCTTGTACATTGCTTTAATCTGTTTAGATGAAAACAGCTATTGAAACACTAACTAGTATTTATTTATTTTTTTATAGTTTTGCCAGCCTGCAAAAAGAATTTAAAAAAAATTTAAATTGAATGAGTGTTCATTTAATAACATGATATAGTGATTCCAGAAAGTTAATTTGGGTCCCAATCCTGCCAGCATTTAAATGTGGATATCTTTTCACACCCATGCTTAAGTGTTTGCAGGATTTGGACCATAGCTTGTAAAGTGGTCAGTCTTAAAACTTTCCTTCTACTTTATCAGGAAACACATTTTGCTTTTTTAACATTTATTATAGGATGTTAGATACATTTTTGTATTTTATAATCAGTTATAAAACTTAAAAACTTCCTTTAAAAATTCTTTATCGAAATAAATTTAAGAAAAAAATAGTTACAATCTAAAGGGTTTTAGTGGTGAAATGATGCAAATTACAATGAAATCCACAATTCCACCTTTCTTCCATGTTTTCTTAAACACCTCTACTAAAACAAACTTCCAACAATTTGATACTTGTTTAGGTGTCTGGCCAGCTTTATTTCTAAAACATAGCAAATACAATAAGAAATTAAGCAAAAATCACAAATCAAACATCAGAGGCATGGATGAAATTGCAATATAGAGATGTGGTCTGGGGGGAAACACTTTGGTTTCAAAATACGTAAGTGTTGTACATGTGTATTTGTATATGAATATTTATTTTTGTACTTTTGTCTTTTGTAGCTGGTCTGGGGAGAACAGGAACATTGATAGCCTGTTACATAATGAAACACTATAGGTTCACACATGGTGAAGTCATTGCTTGGATTAGAATATGTCGGCCAGGCTCTATTATAGGACCCCAGCAGCACTTTTTGGAAGAGTGAGTATAGCATCTTTTGTTACTGTAGGGAGTCTACCGCTTCTAACCATCTCTGTTTTTACCCATTTGTAGTATCTACCAAATCTTATTTATCTAATCTCATAGGGTTTTGTGTTGCCACCCATCATCACCTTAGTGTTTGAATATCTTCCACATAAAATAAGTAGCAATTGTGACATCTCTATGGAATCTCTGGCACTTTTCCCTTATTGGAGTTAAAACTCTCCTGGATTCTGGGTTTGATTATTTTGGGAGGGTGCGGGTCCAGCAGTTGAAAGGGGTGTCAGTGTTGGAGGCTAAGCCTGTGATTATCCAAGGAGGATGAATGTGGGGAAAAAGTATGTGATAATGTATTTAAAGATGGTATCTTATTGCATATGCACAAGCATCCTTAATTATGGCATTTCCTGATTTTTGAGTGCTTGACTTTGGACTCTGAATGTTCTTTTAATGACTATGCATGTAATATCCTAGGCTTTTTAAAAAAGCAAACAAATTCTATAACATGGCATTATATTGACACATTCATGGGTCCTCAGCAGGATTGGAATCTTTAGATCGACCTCACAGCCCTCTGCCACTTGAACTAATGAAGTCACTGATAGCAGTAGTAGGTTGTCACCCTCTGTGTAAGCTAGCATTGGAGGTGGGAATAGGACATTTTGTCATTGGATTTCACAGATATTTGCTGACAGCAGAAGCATGGTACATACAACTCGGGAATCTTCGGTTCCTTTCCAGGCTCTGAAGGGGAGTGAGGTCTGGTGAGCACAGACTCTTCTGCCCGTTTACCCCCCACCCCCAGCTTAACGTCCTATCCAATACAAAATGCATTTTAAGATGACAACTGTAAATGTGCGTCATTATGGGAAAAAATCTAACAGGATGTAGTGTCTTGCTAGGTATTGTATAAATATGTAGTAAGAGACCATCCCTGATCGATAGTGCTTACAATCTAAATAGACTAGACAGATTTAGGAAGGTAGTAGTATTCCATTTCCAAAATGGGAAGCTGAGGCACAGAGACATAGGCGCTGACTTCCTGATTTCCCGGGGGTGCTCGACCCCCAGCTCCAGCCCAGGCCCTGCCCCTTCTCCCAAGGCCCCGCTCCGCCCCTGTTCCGCCCCCTCTCCCGAGGGTGCCCTATAGACAACTGGTGCCTCCCATACTAGGGGGGAGGTCCTGTGACCAGGCACATGTCGACCCCAGCGGCAGCCCCTGTGGAGGGGGAGGGGCGGGCGCTCTGTCCTCCCACTGCACCTGTTCCCCTCTGCCCCCCAGCACATTCCTGGCAGGAGGGAGCTCAGGCAGGGAGTGGGAGGGAATGCTTCTAAGGCCGGCCCCTCCCGGTTGCTGCTCTGCAGCCCAGCGGCTGCTGGGGACCACGGCTGAGCAAGCTGGAAACGTGTCAGAGGGAGGGTGTTACCCAGGGTTCTTTCAACCCAAAGCTCTTGGTAACTTTTACTCTGTGGGAGGTGGTGTCAGGAAATAAATCAGGGGAGACACGGCCATCTGACTGATAGATGGCTGGCACAAACAGAACAACACAAGAGTGCTTTCACTTAAGGCTAAACTTTACTTAGTCTCAAGCACTTACACACGTCCGCAACAGATTAGTAAAACACCCCCAACCCTTGATAATTACCAGTGCTGAGTGTGGCTCTCGAGTGACACAGCGGCAGGCTTCTAGTGGCCAAATCTTCCGTCTGCCGGTGGGGATTGCAAGATGTATCCAGAGGGAGAGTCCAAAAAGAGTCCAACTATCTCAATCTTTTTCCCCTTATTTATACGTTAGTAATAGAATGACATGCCCCTTAAAGAAAACTTGTTAAGTAAGCAGTTTCAATGGTCAAGCAAGAGGTTCCTTCTGGTTATTGATTAACCAGGTGTGGGTTTTTCCAGAGTTTGCAGCCTTGAGACCCTAATAGACATTCCTGGGGAACATCCTGCTCTTTTAAAATGCATGTATCAGCAACTTCAATACAATTCTTATCAGGAAGGATGTGGGGTCAAGCTGCCCTTTCTGTGGCACCCAAACCCCCTCCCCTCCTGCCTTGGTCAAGCTGAGGGCTTGGCTACACTGTCACCTTATACCGCAATAAAGCCTCCCAGAGCGCTCTACCTTACTCCCCGTCCACAGTGGCAAGGCACATAGAGCGCTCCTGGTACTCCACTTCCACGAGAGGGATAACGGCTGTTGCGTATTGGCTGAGACGCCACAGGGCCAGTGTGAATGAGGAGTTACGTTACAGCGCACCGATTGACCTCTGGAAACATCCCATAATCCCCTTAAGTCAAGTGACCTCTCTTCTCTTTGTTGTGAAATCGGCTGAGGAATGCAGAAGTGCCTTTTCAGAGCTCCGTTTCAGACAGCAGGCTGCTTATTTGCAACAGGGCAAAGCAAATGTTTACTGAGTGAGTGAGAGGCAGGGGGGCTAGGGGGATGTGAACTTACAAGATAGCGTGCTAACACACTCTCAGCACTCCAAAAACCCACTCTCTCTCTCTCCCCCCACATACAAACAACACACTCCACCCCACCCCCTTCATTTGAAAAGCATGTTGCAGCCACTTGAACGCTGGGTTAGCTGCCCATAATGCACCACTCCCAATGCCGCTGCAAATGCCGCAAATGTGGCCACGCCAGTGCACTTGCAGCTGTCAGAGTGGACAGACTGGAGCGCTTTCCCTAATGCGCTCTACGAAGGCTAGTTTAACCCAAAGCGCTCTACAGCTGCAAGTGTAGCCAAGCCCTGAGACTGCTGAATAGGCTGCTTTTAACAATAAGCCATAGTGGTTTCAGGCACTTTACTGGTTTGCCAAAATCTCCCCGTACAATCTCACTTGCCCCCGGTTCCTGGCGCCCGAGCCCAGGCAGGGAGCAAAAGCTGCCTTCCCAGCCAGGCTGAGCAGACTCTCTCAGACAGCTGCCAGCGCCAGCCCGCTACACTGCAAAGCAGCATCCCAGCGGCCAGAAGGGGCTGGTTGGTCCTGCCCCATCTGCTCCTGGACCCCCATCCCTTCCACTCCCTGGCATCTGGGGCATGCATTAGCCAGCCCCTCTTCCTCCCCTACCTCTTCCTGCCTCCCGCACACGCCACCGCCAAACAGTTGATTGGGGTAGGCCGGAGGCGTGGGGTGAGGGGGAGGAGCTGATTGGCGGGAGACACTGTGGGGGGGATACGGGGAGGAACCCACCCACTATTAATTTTCTGTGGGTGCTCCAGCCCCGGAGCACCCACGGAGTCGGCGCCTATGCACAGAGATTTAAAAATGACTAGTCCAAGGTCACACAAGAGAAACCTGCGCCAAAACTGTGAATTGAGGATTCATACCTTTAGTATTGTTTGAGAAATGTATTGTCCTGGAGTATTGTAAGTGTATTGTTTGAGAAATAATTAACTTCATCAAGATTGATTATAGAATGGAAATATGAAACCTTAAAGCACATACATGTCTTGTTTCAGAAGCTTCTAAAGAATAATAGAACAGCGATGGCCAAAGTGCTTAAAAAATGCTTGAGTGTAGTGTTGCTTAGCAATGCCCAAAGCATCTTTGATGTATTCAGGTTCAAATAATGCCTAGAGCTGTGGCAGATTGAGATTTTGACCTGAGAAAAAGAAATATGTTACTTTATTATCTTTATCTTAAGTTTGGTACCAATGCCTGGATTTGGGTCACAAACCCATATATTTAGTGTCTGATTTATAATACCGTTATATAAAAATAATTTTATATATAATAATTTAACACACATAGTCAATGAGTCCTGTGGAGGTGCCAATCTAGGCTGATGCCCCCAACTGTCAGCTTTCTTCTGGCAATAGGATAGAGGGTTGTCTGGAGAAATTAGTGAAAGCGCTGAATTCACTGCTTCCTGGCGTGCACCAGCCACTCCCTCTGCCTCCTCCACTCTGTACATCTCACTCATCCCTTGATTTAGTTAGGGCCAAAAGTGCTCCCCTCACTCCCTCCACCTCAAAGGGAGCAACAGCCTACTTGTTATTGGAGCGATGGCAGTATTCCTCTTTGACCAAAAGAGTGCATTTACACTACAGCGCTATCTCCTATATTGACTGTTTTTGTTTTAAAAATTCCCATCATGTTCTTCTGAGTTAACTTGGCTGACATCAGCAGTTGTGTAATCTCAGATCATTCTTTAAATATATTGGATATTGACTTTCCTCGCTCTGTGTAGGAACACTTTTTCAACTATCTAATCCTGCTGTATTTACTGATTATCTGACCTCCCAGTGGGAGCTTTTCTCTGAGGCAATGCATGCAGATAATCCAATCTCTTTTTGGTTTATTGCTGTAGCTGTCACACTTTTTTCCCCCTCTAACAGGAGCTATATTATCTTATACTTCTGATGGGAAAAGAAGGCTAATAGAGAAGATTCGAGAAATAGATTATTGTTCCCTTTAAAAAATGTTAAAAACTAAATTGGAGCTAAAAAGATTTATTCATAGAGAGATGTATGTGTTATGCTCCCACATTTATGATTATTTGGAGCCAAAAGGGAGAGATCACCTCAGGTAATTAGTTCACACATGCTGGCAAACATGCAAATATTTGCTGTGTGGGGTAATAAAGCATGTATTCAGTACATCTAACAGGAGGGTACAAATTCCTCATGCTAAACCAGTCAACCAAGCTTTCATTCTTTTCTGCCACAATCATATAAAATCATTTGAAATTATTTTAAATTGTATTGATATAGGCTTATCTTTACCACTGACTTTATTGCTACGCTATATTAATCTTTTAAGCTTATACGAAGGAATATATGTTTTATGAGGAATGAAAGGTTTCCAGTTCACTTCTGCATATGCTTTTGTGATGGTCACTCATCTTTGGGATTTAGGTAATGGTTTTCATGTTTAAAATAAAAAGCTGTTTAATTTCTTTGAGGAAAATGGAGTACGTAGGAGGAAAAGCATTGCTTCTGTTTGCCACTGCTTTTCAGAGCAGCAAAGTGTCAATAAAATCAACTCAATA